ATGTGACTTCTAACAGGACTGAAGATGTCTGCATTAGTGTTTAGCTGTGGGGTCTGGAAAGGGCTTGCTATTGTCTGGGGCTGATTATTCGATGGTTAATGTATCCTGCTTGTGTAAAAGACAATAAATCATCCTTTGATGTATTTAATTCGCTTTGAAGTTTACTAATGTTTTCCATTTGTACTTTTTGCCACTGTTGTTGACTTTCCTGTAGTTGCTGCTGACTTTCCTGCAACTGTTGGAGACTTTCTTCCTGTTTCCTTTCTTGTTCCAGTTCCCACTGCTGTAATCTCTCTTCTTGTTTCTTTTCTTTCTCCTCCAATCACTGCTGTAGTCTCTCTTCTTGTTTATTTTCTCGTTCTTCTTGTTTCTTTTGCTGTTGTTGTATCGCTGTCATCAAATCTGCTAAGTCGTAGTTTGATTTGGCACTTCTCGTTTCCATTCTTTTTTTTTCTTTTTTTTTTTGGTCCCACTCTCTGACACCAATTTGTTATGTCTCTGGTCGTTTGTTAATTTCCCGTAAAAATTCCTTCCAAAAAACTTAAGCGATACAAGTCCTTTCTTAAATAAAACTAGTTTATTATTTCTCAATACAACTTTGCAATACATTTAATTTCCACAGTCACTTTAACTTAAACACACGCTAGAATTCACTACGATTCACGCACATTACTTTCGGCTTGACTCGATTATTTGTCTCTATATCTCTCTGTCTGCAATTATCTATATCGTCACTTCTTTTGCCGGCTTATAAAAAAAATAGAGGGCACGTAGAGAAGACCAGAGTTTCCAGGAACAGACATGATCCTTCTAGAATCTTATGACCTATTACTAGCGTAACGTGATTTCCGCTGTGGTAACATATAGTTAGGATGTTAACATATCAGATACATTTATAGCCAATTCAATTTCAGATTTTCAATTGTTAGTCCCATCCAATGCTTTTTATACTGGCAATCAACATGCATAATATTACAAAAAAGTGAGTAATATTTTCTGAAGAGTATATGAATGTATCTTTTTACTTAACTCTTTCTCCACGGGTGCCCTTTACTGCTCATGAAACAAGGTTTTTGTGTCTTACATTCAAAATTTTATTATACTACTTTTTGTTTATGTTACACCAATTAGAATAGCGCAGAATCTTAGCTAATAATCCATATTTTAACAGTATACAAG